AGAGAGAGAGAGAAGATGGAGGCAGATGTTCACATGCTTCTGATTGTATGGGTATCTTGCTACTGATCATTACTAAATATATAAGCCTTTGATTAATCCTTAAGCATTAGAGTCTCATTTTTCTACTGGGCCTGTGTGGATGGCAGGATGGTCTGGACAATGTCCAGCCTTGCGGAAACAACATAGAAGATTGGCAGAGCCATCTCCCATGCTGGCGTCTCATGGGTGGCAGAGCTGGTGATTCTGGCTGGCCGGTTCTATCTGGTGCATGTGGCCTCTGGCCATGGAACATAGCAGGTGAGCTAGGCAGAGCTGCCGCAGCTTAGATAGATGGTCGGCCCAGCAGCCCCACTTTTTACATAATTCCTTCAACAATAAGAAACTAGAAGTGCAGACAATGATGTGCAGTTGAGGGCAGATTACTATCACTGTGCTTTACAGCCTGAATGACAGCTACCTCAAAAAGTTTTCATCATGAGCAACATAGTCTTCATAATCATGCTGTGTGTGTGTGTGTGTGTGTGTGTGTGTAGGTGTATACACAGTTGCAGTTTGGTGTTTTCCTCTATCATCATCTACCTTATTTTCTATAACAAGGGCCTCTCTCTGACCCTCACTATTCAGGCAGGCAGTCTGGGCTAGATTCATCTGTCTTTGACCACTTAGTGCTGGGAATCTAGACACATATCAATATAACCTTGCTTTCACATGGTATTGGAGATTTCATTTAGGTCTTCATACTTGTGTATCTATCTGAGCTATATCTCCACTCACTAAGTTTACTACTTAAAATATTAAAACAATAATTGTCTCTTCCATTATAAGCTTCTCAAACTATCTGCCATAAGTTCACTGAAACCAAGGAGGCTCGGAAGAAGCCATCCCAACATATTCATACCACTCTAGCATGCTGAATATTTAAATTATAAACACATAAAAAGGTGATGCAAAAGATGTCTATGATCTTCAAAATTCCTCTTAAAAGTAGATATGCAGTCCCTGTGTGGAAGAGGCAACAGCTTATCCTCAAAGGTAGGAAGACCAAGAATACCCTGAATGGGGTTGGTTGGAATAATAAAATATGTCTGTGCATAATTTAGTCATTTTTCCATGACTAATATTCCTTGTCCATTCCAGGGCTAGGAAAGCGTATCCATGCCTTGTTCAGCTTTCTTTTGAGAAGCTTCCTCCAGAAGTAGATGGCAACAAATACAGACCCAAAGCCAAACATTGTGCAGAGAGCGAGAGATCATGGGACAGGCAGCACTAAATGAGGTGTTTTCATGCAATCTCTCCCCTCAAGGTTCAGGGAACCATGCAGAGGGCAGGGCAGGAAAAGAGCTAGAGCCAACATGGGTGGAGGACACCAAGAAAACAAGGTCCCCTAAATCAATAGGATCAAAGCACATAAGTCACAGAGACTGGAGCAGCATACACAAGTCCTACATGGGTTTAATCGAGACAGGGGTCCAAGAGCTGAAAGGAGAAATGGACACACGCCTTCATCCCTAACCAGAAGCTAGGTCCAACTGCAAATGAAAATTCTGTCTTATCTAGGATTGTGTCATTGCAGAAACTATCCTAAGGGTAGTCCCATGCCCAATACCAGATGACTGCCACAAAATGAACTTAATGGCATCTTTGTCTCATAATGCTCAGTCAGAATATTTTTTTAACCATACAGGTCCTTTGTATAAACATCATGGGTTCCAGTTTTCTGTTTTTATGAGATTCCTGTGTGTGTCCTTCAGCACCTATATGTGTTTTGTATGCTTTTTCTTTGGCTCCTTTTTCTTGTCTGGCTGTTTTGTCATATTCTGGTTTATTTACTGTGGTTCACCATCCTCTGCACCTGTGCTGTTGTGCCTGCTCCCCCATCTCTATGCATTTCCCAGAAAAGATTGCTCAAGGAGAAATCGAAGCTTGGGTGGTAGGCTGCCGAGTGTGTCTCCTTGTTCCTGTTTTGTTCCCTGTTCCTGTTTTTATTCCTGTTCCTGTTTGTGTTCCTGTTTTGTGGGGAGTATAAAAGGGAGCTACACGGTAGAAAATATAGCATTTGGTCTTTACCAGATGACTCCTTGTTTTCTTTCTCTAGCCCTCAGCTGATCCAAGGAGCTCAGTCAGCTATGCTGGCATAGCTGACAATTTATTGTTTTGCTTTACCTTACTGTATTTTATTTTATCATTACTCCTTACATGCCTGTTTGTTTGCCAATGGGAGACAGACAGGTCTGGATCTAGATGGAAGGAGAGGTGGGGAGAAACGGGAGGAGTAGGAGGAGGGCAAACCATAATCAAAATGAAACCAAAATCAGTATAAAAAAAAGTCATTTTCAATAAAAAAAATATTCTTTGTACAGTCCATTACTTAAGTAACTGGTTCTAAATGCTACTTTGGGATTTCATATCTCTACAATGATTCTCATGTTATTCAAAGTTTGTGTTAAACAAATGTGCATGTTTTTCTTCTATTGATTCAGCTCATGTTAATTTAATTCTCATTCCTATCTGAGACCCTGAAGAATGGATATGGTGTTCTCCTACTTTTCCCAAGTTATCTGTCCTTGCCTCATGGTACCAAGCTTTTAAACTTGTTCCTTACTTTGCTGCTTTTTGCTCCTATTCACTCATTATAGCTTCTCTGATAAACCTTTCATTAACTGTCCTATTCTTTATGTTCATAAAATATCAAACTCATCAAATATACAGAGCATCTCTTTATGCATTAAGTCTCTAATACCTGCAACTGACCTCAACTTCTTGGGTTGGATAGTAGAGATGGGAAGAAAACCAAAATTTGTAAAACCATTCAGAGTGTCCTAAAGTAGAAATAATGGGCAATATGAAGATGAGGAGGAACACACCCTCAGCTACTTGATCATAACAGAAAATCTGGTGAATTAATCAAGTACAGTTGAGACAAGAAAAGATAAACAAAATTTAACAGGTTTTCAAGCAAAGAGACAGATATGTCAAATCACCTGGGAAGGGAAAGTGGAAAGTTTTAGGTGCTACAAAAAAGACCCTTGAGGTAGAGGATTGATGACACAGGCTTCGAGTGTTCCAGAGGTTGTAGGCACTAGGACAGGCATGAGTCCATTTTCCTCTACACAAATGTTCATGTATACCGCCACCCAGCTACAACCCCTTCAGCACATAGCACAAGGAATGCAGGCTTTTTCTGCAAACCCTTAAGCCAAGGCCTCATCTCTCCCAGCAGTAGCAGACCTAGGTCCAGCAGAACTAAAAGACAAGGTAATTGTTATGTGTGCATTGGACTTAATAATAATATTCAATAATAATTGCTATCATTATTAGTTGCTTATTTTGAAACTTTTTTTCAGATCATTTTCTTTACCCTAGTCTATGAGTTTTCTGTATGCAGGGATCCTGTTGAGTTTAGATAAAATTGTTTCTTTTGAGAAATAATGACAGTATTATAGATACTATCAATTATACAAAAATGGGACTCACATAATTACATTCCTATTTTTTAATAATTTGAGCAGAAATGTTTGAAAAAAGACACAACTGCAAACATTTACAATATTTTCTTAATAAACTAGAAATCAGACATATATGGGTGAGTTGCTAATTCTCAATTGGCTGTTTTCTTTTTTGCTAAACAAGTATTAAATTATAGCAATTTACTGCTGGAAGGAGCATGAACTATTTGGTATAGTTCAGCAAAGCCACAACAGAGATGATAAATGTTCACTGAATTACTTTCTTGTGTCTGCACATTGAACTATTTGCCAATTATGACAGTTAACACGGTTTTTCTTCAAAGAGAAAAGAGGATTTATTCCTCAACTTAAAACATATGTGCTGGAGTAAATCTCTTAGGGACCACACTCCTGGGGAATAAGTTCTTATTAGAGTTGCTTCTCCTAAAACCATAGTACCCTGGCAGATGGCTACTCATTGTGTGTTTTGAATAAATAATCCAGTGGATCTAGCCCACTCCCCATTCAGAGAAGCAGGCAAGGAACTCTCATCCTCTTTGTTATCCTTAAGGTCTAAGAAAAAGATCCCGGGAGTGAAGTAGGGTGATAGTGGAAAAGGATGAGAAATCCTTCACAACTTTACTTCCCTTCTCTGCTGTAGAGGGCAAAAGATGGTAGTGGTAGCTGAAGCATTAAGGAAGTCTTGTGAAGAGAAAGCTTCATAGCATATGAATGCAAATCATGTAAATAGAGGATGGACCGGTCTGAGGTGTGCTTGCAGACTACCCTACTGTAGTAGATCGATGATATCAGATTGGCATGCATTTGCCAATACTTGTTGCTATCCAAAGCATTCTAATATACAATGATGTTCCCTTGGTATAAAATTATACAATTAATAATGCATATTGTTTAATTTATTGCTTTTGATAGAATAAACAAAATATTTCATTTAATGCTTTGGTTATATTTCTAGGTATTCATTGAAACAGAAACCTAAAACAAATTTTATACCACTTCAACAGGTACTGAAGGTATATGAAATACAAATTTTGTACTAATTAATTTAATTGAACATTTGAGTGATAAATAAAAGAAATTATTAAAGAATAAATAAATGCAAATCAGTAGATACCTTTTCTAGATAATAAATAATAAAGGTGATATTTAGTTTCTTTACATATACTTTGCAGTGATGGCTCATGGGCCAAATCAAGGCAATATTTGTTTTCCATATAAAATACACAACAGTTAAACAGAAATATTTCAAAACAAGTGGCTCTACTTGTCAACAATGTATGAAAATGATGATTCAATTATCAATTTGGTATGGCATAGAAACCTGTTTGGGTCACCTGTTTACGCCATGCCACTCAAAGTCATCAGTGTTTGTGCTCTATCTATGCACCCTCAGTAATGTATTTGCAGCTCAGTCCAGATTTATGTGATATGCAAAAAGGGAAGTTTACAAATAACAACACGAGAGTAAATAACTACATGGGCTCGTTTGCATCTCAACTATTGGAGCCTCCCTTTGGTAGGCACAGATCTTACCTGAAGTTCTTTTTCTTCTATCTTCCTTTGGAGAACTTGAAGACACTTGGTAAAGTCAGTGTGGTCTTGGTCAGGAGTTGAAATAAGATCACAGCCCTATGTGTTGAAGACAGAGAATGTTGAGAATTAAGATTTCAGTGCATGATCAAAGGGCAAGCTCTGAAAGTAAAGACAGCCTGTCATTAGATAAATCCTAGGCGGTCAGTACTACCTCCTCATTAGAATCAGCATCCTTATCTTTGTATCTTTTTTCTTTCACATAAAGAGACACATCAAGAATGAAGTTACAATTATGAGATAATTATGTCAATCATTTTCCCTAAGGAAAGTACATATTTTAACATGTAATCTGTCCTTCAGAGATACTGATGTGATAACATTCAAGATTAACATAAGAATTTTATACTAGTATAATCAATTTTACTCACAGTAAAATTACCTGAATTAAAATGAAAGTATTTCTTTAAAAACTCTAATTTATTTAAGCAGACTACATCACTTCAGTTACATGAATGGAAAAAACTAGAATTAATATTTAACCAGTGGTGATTACATTTTATACTTTAGTACAATCTGTCTTGTAAGATTCCTTTATAGTCTCACTCATGTGAGCAGTAGCAGCAGAAAGAGCTTCCAGCATGCACATATGAATTATCTTTGAGACATAATGGGGTGAAGTTATAACTTCTTTGCTTTCTTTATAACATCTCACCATCTGTAAGACACCTAAGCCCAGGCTAAAGACAAAGGCAGGAGAACGCAGTTTACCATCTCTTGTGAACTTAGATGGCTAGAGAATCTGTGTCTTTAAAATGACATCTTCTTTTCCAGTGTCATACAGAGACAAAGGTGTATAAAATCAGACCAGGGTGGGAGTCCATACTTCTTAATTCAGAAGTGAAACAATTCTTGAACTCTGACAAGGAGCTGAGTAAGGGAAAATTAAACATAATCTAGTGTATAAGAGTTGCCATTCAAAGAGTTTTCAAGGATACAAAACACCCATATGGACTCCTAAATTATTCTAGAAACCATCCTCGGTAGATTTAAGGCTTCTTCTTTTACCTCAAGGTCTCTTTAAATATGTCAAGCTCAACCTGTGCTTCATTCATTTATGACTTCCTCACAATGGACTGACCAGTGAAAGAATTAATTTCTCGCTATTCAGAAATATATGATGCTCTAAAAGGCATATATGTCATCTTTACAAGATCAAAGACATAATTTCCTGATCCTAAAAGAATATTGAAATTTGCTATAATCATCAAGCAAGGGCATGAAGAAGCAACTGATCTAAAGTTAACAGTCTTAAAAAGAAAGACATATGCAAGTCACTTAGGGATATTAAAAGAATGACAGATAAGGTTGCCATCAACTACCATGATATGGAGAGCTCTCTGAGAGTAGGAATTGGGTTTCTTTCTGTACTATTTCCAATTTTGGCACCTGTCTGCTATATAGAAGGGCATAATAAATAAATATTTTCCCAAATAATAAATGTCTAATAAATATTCCATGCAGCAAATGAATATATTACATACAAAATATATAAAATATAGACAAATTTATAGACTTTTATAGAAATGTGTATCGACAATAGGCTGGGGGAGTGTCTTCTTGCTAAACATACCATATTTACCAACTGAGATTTTTGTCTTTCATTTTAAAATTGTGACAACAAAACAACTTCATAAAAGAAAATAAACCTGAATAGGCAACTTCAAACAGCAATACATGATTCACAGATGAGTGTACCCTCCCAGTTATCTTCACAGAACCAGCAGACAGCCACAGAGAAGATTCTTGGACAGAACAGAATCTAGAAACACTGAAAATATTTACAGATTGAGAGACCACAATTGTCCTGATGATTTTTAGTCAGCTGTATAGTAATAAAAGAAGGGTGGTGGTGGTGGATAGGTAGAAACATCGTGATCATTCCCATGAAGGGACATATTTTTCACTTTCTGGAAGCAAAAAACCCTTATAATATTTCTTGAATATGTTCAATGAGAATGATACTTAAATTAAAAAATGGCATCTCTGCAAGTTGAAAACAGAGAATTACCCAGCACTAGTGAAGTCACGCATCTTGAAGATAAACCACTTCACTAAGTCAGCATAATTCCTAATTATATTCTAAATATTTACCAATATATACACAGATAAGTGTAGTTTTCACCTCATATCAAAGAAACTTCCCTTTGTAACAGACAGAAACCATTAGAGTCTGTAACTGATCAAAATGCAGAGAACAAGAGATTGCATGGTAGCTAGTACTGACTGATACGTATATATGTGTGTGTGCATTCACACACACACGCACACACACACATCACCACCACCACCAGCACACCCAAATTCAGAACTCCTGACTCCTGTACAGGTTCTGCAGAAGAGAAGAAAGTATTTTTTTTTGATTTTCACCAAATTTTAATTTTCAAAATTCATTCTTCAGATCAGTTTACAACACTGGCAGTTTTCAATCAGAAAAGGTTTTATTACAAGAAACAATGCCAACAGGTAAAAATGCAAAAGTTGTGCAATTACGGCAAAATGTTTAAAAATATCTACACATTTTCCCCATAGGCCTACAGTACTTACTACATATCTGAGCACTGAATGTTGAATGCCATCTTAAACTGAGAAGAAAGTATTTTAAGAGTAAGAGAAACATGAAGCTTGTTGTGACATGTGTCTCCTGTCTCCTAGAAAGGTCAGCAAAGCTACACCCATCAAATTTCATAAATATCACTGCCTTAACAAGGCCCAAACAATGATGACACCAATGGACATATTAATATGGAAAACAGAAAGCTCAAGGGACCTCAATCTTAGACAAAGAATTATGGGGAATACTGAGAGCAGAAGAAATAATCTTCTCCAGGGAAACTACCCCAAACTAGTTATCCAATACCAAGTGGTCAGTCTGGAAGACATATATTTATATACACATATATATGTGTGTGTATATATATATACATACATACATACATATATATATGCCATACTTATATCACAAATATCAATATAAAATGTGTGTGTGTGTGTATATATATATATATATATAGTGATATATTTAAGAATAAATAGTGTATTTATATACACTAATGTATATAAATATGGGAACAATCATTTAAAAAGGAGACCACAAATTTGAGACAAAGCAAGGCAACTGAAGACACAAGACTTGGATGATCTGAGCTGCATCTACGCTGAAAAACCTCCATCCTGCAGTCTAGGCATCCAACACATCAGAAAGTTGAATGCAAGCTGTAAATGGTGGGAGATAAGAGGATATAAAATAGGGAGGGGGATATTTGGGGGGAATGTGGAAGCATCTGGACGTAGATCCTAAGAAATGAGTGTGATGAAACTACATTGTATACAGAAGATATATTAAAAAAGTTTTTAAAGAAGTAAATCTAGTAAAAGAGAAGGAGACAGCAAAGAATAAGATGGTACTTAGACAGGTTATCCACCAATCATTACATCTTTATATTAGACAGAGAGATATTTAACATGCTAAAAAAAGCTAATTTGACAGAGTCAGAAGCACTAGGCCCTTGAACAGTTTTCACTGATTTGATATTTTTCTTTATAAAAAACTTAAAGCACTCATGACACCCTCTGCCTCTAAAGTTAGAAGAAAAGGCCATGGTGTTTAGAATTAGAAGGACTTAAGTTTCTAATTAGTAGTCTGCAAGATTAGTTTTCTTGTAGTAATACACGCATTTTAACTAGAAACACACTGAAAAACCCACAAGTTTAAAACTACAATGACCTTGCATTGTCTTAAAGTACTTCTGCGTGGTAAAAATTGCATTATCATTGGTTTTTCATAGTTTCATAAAAAGCAGGGCCTCTTAAAACCAGAAAGTATTACTATTTTATGAGCCAGCAGGTGGCTCCAATTTCACACTGCATATACTTGTATTTGATTTTTTGTCATTTAACAAGTAGATACTTACATAACTTAATTCTACTAAGTTCTCTCTATGAATAGGATAATTTCTCAAGCTGGATTGTGATTTTTTCTAATATTATATTTGATTAATTGTAGTTCACAGTGACTAAAAACAAAAACACCTGGGCTCATGCCACAAAGTTCAGTATATGTTGATGCAAGGTTATCCTGATTTTGTTCTAACCTAAAAATAACCTTTTGAAGATGTAGAGCCACAGTACCGACATGGACTCTTGTAGAGCACAAACACTAGAGGGAGAAGCGAGAAGGAAGAAAGAGCAACCACTGTAAAAACTGTGTTCTAGCTTCTCTGAGTTGACAATAATCTCATTTATCAAGCATCTATAACCCAGAAATACAAATGAGAAAAAGTTACATAAACTTAAGTATAAGTTACCATATAATTACTATTTAGGGCTTATTAAATGTCTTCAGATCTGTTAAATAATGCTGTGCATTCTCAGAGGGCAGGGTGTTAATAGCTCACCTCTAAAATGCTTACCACGAACAAAAACCAGTGCTAAACACTGAAAAATAAAATCTACAATTATTATCATGATCATATGTTCTAGATACTAAGAACACAGTCCAGCAGAAATAAAACATGAATATTAGTACCATGAGAATTATACTTGATTACTCGTGAGAAAGAAAAACAGATGATTTCCTCATCTTCCTCTTGCCATTCAGAAAAAAATCCTATAAATGCTTGCTTATGTTTAATACATGCCTGAAAAATTGTTTTCAGTTCATTCGTAAATCACATTTTTTCTTTTGGCAGGTAGTTTGGACATCTGGAATAGTATTTTAGCTGTTGTACTTTGCCACATTCTCTATAAAGTAACTTTATCAGAAAGTCCCGTACTTGAGAAATAAAGATGTCTTCACTAATATCAAAACAGCCCTTCCTGCAGGCTTGGATCTCAGGCTTGGATCTCTTCACTGTGATAGTTTCAAAGCAGCATCACGAGATCAGAAGCCAAGGAGACATTTTGAAAAATTCTTCACAAAAAGTAGCTTACATTTTATAATATGTACATATAAATTGATATTATATTTTATCATTGATATATAGTTATATATAATTGATATATGCAAAAATTACCTTAAAGGCCTACATTACTTAAAA